AGTAGCGGTTTATGTTGTGGTAAAAGTAAGGGTCTATATTGTGGTAAAAGTAAGGGCTTATGTTGTGGTAAAAGTAAGGTTTTATGTTGTGGTTTAAGTAGAGGTTTATGTTATGGTCAATGTAACGGTTTATGTTAGGTTAGCGTAAGATTTATGTTGTATTTAAAGTAAAAGTTTATTATATGATTAAGAGTTTATGTTGTGGTTAAAGTAGTTGTTTGTGTGGTGGATAAAGTAAAGCTTCAGGTTATGGATATAGTAACGGTTAATGTTAGGTTTAAAGTGAATGTCATTTAAACATTGTAGGGTTTTATAGTGGCAGCGTCAGACATGATACAATGTTCTGGTTTAAGTGAGGATTAGTGTTAAGGTGACGGTAAGATTTGTGCTAAGACATGGAATCAGATTCGTTGTTATGGTTTGGAACAGGGTGAGGTGTTAATGCTGGGGTAAGGGTACTGACGCCGTGTAAGAGTTATTGTATTACAAGTCTACTATAATTTTGTATACAATTCTCTTCAGCACGATGCTATTGAGTACTGGTTACAGTGACAAAAGAACTATCTACTTTAATTTGTATCGAATTCCCATCACAAGTATTTTCCTTTGTACAACTGTCTAATTGTTTTTTCTTCAGCACGGTTCCAATGGAAACCGGACGACCCCGAAATTGTGTCTGATGTCCTGTTTGCTATTGCCAACGTGATCAGTTTTGCCAGAACCACCTACCTCATGCCAGCCTTCGAAGTGCTGGGACCGTTACAGATCTCTCTGGGCCGTATGATAGGCGACATTACGCGCTTCATGGTGCTCTTTATGTTGGTAGGTGTACATGGTAGCTGGCTGTAATGCGATATAGGTAATCCATATAAAAGTATAAAGCTTATCATCATGGTCCAAAAGACACAGTTTTTACGACTTTTTGTGTGTGTCCTGTTTTGTTGTGGTTAGATTATATTTAGTACATGACACTTTATCATTTAAGGTCCTGTTTTTTCGTCATGTTCAGCCATTATGCAATGCAATAAACTTTACCATTTTAGGTCTTCTTTTGTCCATACTTTTGTAGGTCCTGTTTGCCTTCATGGTCGGTCTACATAACCTGTACTGGTACTATGGGGCTCAAAGGATTAAGATGACAATGAACGGCCAGATTGTCTACGTACACGCTGCAGAGGCCTTTCAGGGGTATCGTATCATTTAATATATACTAGTGATTTCATAATGTTAAAATAGTTCACATTGTCGGATGTCTTACTTTGCAGAAGCCTGACCATGGGTTATAGATTTGATAGATGTGCTTTTGCTCTCCATTGTTATTTGTTACAACAAAGGTTCTATTTCTTGTGACCTACGATATTGTTTACCACAGACGTTCTCCTGTATAATTACGTTACGGACTTTCTTTAGAGTGTTACGCTTTACGACGGACCTCCGTTTTACTGTGTATCGTTGTGACGAACGTTCTATGCGGTGTTATTTATTACATCAAACGTTGTTTGTTTCAATGTTACATATTACGAAAAACATTAAACTTAATGTACCAGGTCAAGACCGACGTTCTCTTCAATGCAAATGTTCCTACAAAGTTTGTTTGTGTCACTTGTTAATTAATTCGATGCTGCAGGTCACGACAAACGTTCTGTTTACGTTATTTGTGAGCTTAAATGTTCTGTACAGTGTCGGAGAATACGACAGAGGTTCTCTCTCGACGTTATTTAAGTGACGTTAAGTGCAAATTTTACAGGTTACGACAGAGGTTCTGTTGATGTGATTTGTTAGGTTAATTGTTTTGTTCAATATAACAGGTTACAACAAACATTTTGTTGGTGTGATTTGTAAGGTTAAATGTGTTGTTCAATATTACAGGCTACGACAGACATTCTGTTGGAGCTATGCTTTACGTTAAATGTTATATTCCATGTTACAGGTTACGACAGACGTTCTATAGTCTCTTCTGGTCAATGTTCGGCCAGGTTAGCATCAATGACATCAACGTGAAACACCCAGGTCCTGAGGGAAGTATGTATCTGAAACAAGCATAGTAAGAGAAACAACTCGTTTGCCCCATGTACAATAAAACAACTTCCTAACCCGGCATTGTTGGCATGTACTTTACTACTCTAACATGTTAACGTTAAAACTAACTACTGATCAAAGCAGTGCTGTTTATGTCCTAAATCTAAATGTAAACGCATCCGCATGCAATTATAAACAGTAGGATAATTTTGAATAATGACAATGTTTAATAATTATACCATGTCTTACTAACATAACATATATCTGTTGTACCACTGTATCCTTCTGTGGGCCGGCTATAATGTTATCTATTATCACCTTCGAGCAACTGCTGGTGTCATGATACGTCATGCACGTGTATTAGTGTGACGTATTATCACCGACCGTTAGGGTACACGTCAACATATGACATATAACAGCGTCATTTTAATAAGACTTTGTGAAGTTATCAATCATCTTAACAGTGGCTGTTTGATGGGAGCTGTTTAATCTGTGGTACATATAAATAATTTGCAAATTCAATGCACATCAATAATGGAGGAAAATGTACGACAAAATGGTGATTGTGAATTAGTTATCTTAATTAATCTGAGTAATACAAATTCCCTATTTCGTTTATTTGATTAAAAGTGTCATTCTATAGTGAACAATCTCCTACAAAAATATAACTATGTTGAATATTATTTATTAAAAGATGCTAATAAACGATGCTAAATGTGTCAATATCTATATATAAGCAGTTGTATATGATGTGTTTTACATTATT